AGAAAGCAGAGATTTGCCACTTCTAGCGGGGCTTCCGGAACCTGTTTCAGGGACATTTGGTGGCTTCAATTTACATGGCCTCTATATGACATGTCCACAAATTTCTGAAATGTTGATATGCCGCATGACTATTCTTAAATGAAAAACTCTGCTGAATGTTATTATTTTGTCTGGTACTGCAGTTGTATGATATGATAGAACTTTTGACGTAGGACTACGTCTTTGATTTCTATATGGGGGTACACTTTATGAAAACTGAAAATGGAACATGTAACCAAATTATGAAAGATTTTGAACGTTAATAACTCAGCTGCCCCTGAACCAATTTCAATGATTTTATCACCAATATCGAGATTCGGGCGTAATTGCTTTTGTAAACAAACTCGTAATTTGCTGATTTCTCGTGATTTAAAGCTCAATCTAAAAAACTAACAACACAAATAGGTAGACGAATGGTTTATCTATCATTTGGCATAGTTTGTTTGCGAGATTGTTCTTTAATTTGCGAGAAATTGGCGATTGACGTGCTTTTGTTCACAAAAGCAATTACGCCCAAATCTCAAAGTTCTTCGGAATTGTTAACTTTGAAACTCAGCGGTTACCTTGATCAAGAGCATGTTATCATGTCAAAATTCAAATTCATGCAGGTAGTTTATTTATCTTTCATTGTTGCTTTCATTTTCAGCTTACTTTTGTAACTTCAGATAGCAGTAACACTTCCTTCAGCAAAAACCAAATAGATCCCCACGGCAAAAGAGCACGATGCAGACTGAATTTAAATCGATATTCTCGAATTAGTCACATTCAAAAGCAATTACTCGGATGTTCATTTAATGATGTTTTCAAGCTGCGTGTTTGGTTAACTTTTTTCAAAATCATAAACTTTTTGTCACCTCTTCAAAACACATCGTGATATGGCAATACTCTAAATAAATAAATAAATAAATAAATAAATAAATAAATAAATAAATAAGTAAATAAATAAAAAATAAATAAATAAATAAATAAATAAATAAATAAATAAAAAAATAAATAAATAAATAAATAAATTAATAAATAAAGAAATAAATAAATAAATAAATAGATAAATAAATAAATAAATAAATAAATAAATAAATAAATAAATAAATAAATAAATAAATAAATAAAAAAAAAAAATAATAAAATAAATAAATAAATAAATAAATAAATAAATAAATAAATAAATAAATAAATAAATAAATAAATAAATAAATAAATAAATAAATAAATAAATAAATAAATAAATAAATAAATAAATAAATAAATAAATAAATAAATAAATAAATAAATAAATAAATAAATAAATAAATAAATAAATAATATAAATAAAAAAAATAAAAAAAATAAGTAAACAAGTAAGTAAGTAAGTAAGTAAGTATGTAAGTTAGTAAACAAGTAAGTAAGTAAGTAAGTAACTTGTAAGTAAGTAAGTAAATAAGTAATTAAGTAAGTAAATAAATCAGTAAGTAAGTAAGTAAGTAAGTAAGTAAGTAAGTAAGTAAGTAAGTTAGTAAGTAAGTAAGTAAGTAAGTAAGTAAGTTAGTAAGTAAGTAAGTAAGTAAGTTAGCAAGTAAGTAAGTAAGTTAGTAAGTAAGTAAGTAAGTAAGTTAGTAAGTAAGTTAGTAAGTTAGTTAGTAAGTAAGTGAGTAAGTAAGTAAGTAAGCAAGTAAATATGTTAGTAAGTATGTAAGTAAGTAAGTAAGTAAGCAAGTAAGTAAGTTAGTAAGTAAGTAAGTAAGTAAGTTAGCAAGTAAGTAAGTAAGTTAGTAAGTAAGTAAGTAAGTTAGTAAGTAAGTAAGTAAGTAAGTAAGTTAGTAAGTAAGTAAGTAAGTATGTTAGCAAGTAAGTAAGTAAGTTAGTAAGTAAGTAAGTAAGTAACTTAGTAAGTAAGTTAGTAAGTTAGTTAGTAAGTAAGTGAGTAAGTAAGTAAGTAAGCAAGTAAATATGTTAGTAAGTATGTAAGTAAGTAAGTAAGTAAGCAAGTAAGTAAGTACGTAAGTAAGTAAGTAAGTTAGTAAGTAAGTAAGTAAGTAAGTTAGTAAGTTAGTAAGTAAGTAAGTAATTAAGTTAGTTAGCAAGTTAATAAGTAAGTAAGTAAATAAATAAATAATTAAATAAATAAAAAAATAAATAAATAAATAAATAAATTAATAAATAAATTAATAAATAAATAAATTAATTAATACATAATTAATTTAATACATAAATAAATAAATATATTAATAAATAAATAAATAAATACATAAATAAGTAAGTAAATAAGTATAAAAATAAATTAATAAATAGATAAGTTAGTATGAAAAAAAAAATAAATAATTCAATAAAGAGTAAAATAAATAAATAGATAAATAAATAAAAAATATGAATTTAAATAAATAAATAAATAAATAAATAAATAAATAAATGAAAATAAATAAAATAATTTTACCGAATTTAATTGCAATCTCGACTTGGAGAAGAATTTTATATTTTGTATGGGAAAATGTATGAAAATGTATGTATGTACTGGGCAAAATTCCCAAGTAATCACCAATCCCGCAAACTACCCGATAATCGCCCTTTTTGCAATATAAGGTCAATATAGGGTTTCCTAACTTTATATCAGTCGTAAATCAGCCTTATATTGCAAAAAGGGGGCCGGCTTGTTGGTTACTTGGGTTGCACAATAGGTCAAGGTGGATAGAGAACAGTAGTACATAATTTTCTCACTATGCAGCGCTAATGTGCAAGTTAATTTCCTGTATAAAATATATCTTGAGTTATTTACGATTTAGAATGTTTCCGTCTTCGGTAAAGTTGTTCAGGTGGTCAATGTCTTCAAATTTGAGGGTTACTTAGTTCAGAATCATTCAATTCTAGTAGACTTGTTTTACACTATATGTAGAATATGTGTATTTCATTCTGGAATATATTGATGTCTTCATTTCTTATTTCCAAAAAGAGCTTCATGTCGTCGGCAACGATAAGCAATTTTAGTTTTTTTTTATAATGAAAGAAATGTCGGTTACGCATAAAATAAAAAGAAGCGGTCCCAAATGAGAGCCTTCCCGAGCAAAGTCGGTTAACAAAGTGAATGCAAATCGATATTAAAAGGTGCAGTTCCTATCATAATGAAAACTCATTTTGATTTCAAATGTCGTGACATAAGTCTGATATCATTTTGTGCTTTCATTATGCAGTCAAGACTTTTTAAATGAAAGCAACTTAACGTGAAGTTTTGTTGTTAACGTCTTGTTTAAAATTTAATTATAGTTCATCTGTCGTTGACAGTCTTGTAAGCGGTCACGGTAGTCGACACATTTTCTGTGATAATTGACTGCCTTTGCCTCCGACACTTGCAAAACAAGCTATCATAGTACAGTACCAAACTCAAATGTCGTATGACAGGCTCTGTCATACGACACCGTCGCCGAAGTAAAGTATGTATTTTAGTTTTCTCATAATAATAGCTGCTGATGGTGTGCTTGTGTGAATTCTGAAAATAGCAAGCAATGATGTCCTAGTAATAATATTTCTGATCAGAAATGGTTTGATTTACACCAAATTGAGGAATTACAACGAAATCACACATGTCATATGATAGCTATTTCGATAATTTTCTTTTAGCTCGAATATTATTCAACCGCTCGTGTTGTGTGAGAGAGACGACGGTAGAGCATGAGTGTTCGAATACAAACAGACTGTCGCGCACGACAACGGAGCGAGTGTAGTAAAAAACGTCAACTGTTTCAACCCCTGGTCGTTGAACTAATGATTATTGTTTATTTGCTTGTTTAACACATTTTAGATCATTCGTGACTGGCCCGGGATGAGATTTGAGCTCAAGTCTTTCAGCGTGAGAAGCATGAAAGCTAACCATTTACGCCAGGCCCGTATTCAGTTAAACATTGTGAATGCGAAATCAGTTATCAAATTGATTTCATTGCAAGCAGGATTAGTTTTCCGTTTGCTACAATAGTGTAAAATGTTGCTCCCATTTTTGCTGTGTTAACCGTTAAGACAAGCAATATGAGATCAATTGGAGTATTCAAAATAAGTTACATCATAATAGCAAATTTTGATTTCAATTTGATCTCCAGCTTTGCTCGGGTTGGGGTACGCCTGAAATGAATTGGGCTGGATTTCTTTCCGATGAATTTAATTATTTCTTGTCGGCTAGTTCCGAGGTTAAAGTTGAGCAATATTTGAATTTTTGGCAGGCAATCAATAGGTTTGTTTCTTTCCTATACAAAATCTAAAATTCTCCCGCAAACCCAGATCATAACCAAATTCATTCAAATTTGACACCGTTGCTGGGGACCCTACAGCGGAAGAGCATTTTTTTTTTTAAATTCTTTATTAGGGAGATTTTTAGTGTTTGGCTAGTTCATCTCCGAATTGGAAGAGCAGTGGGGAACAGGGGGTTATGATTCACCATACAAACTTGATCCTTCCTAGTGTCCGCTCTCCCCTATAGGTGTTAGAATGTCATCAACTTAAGCGTTGAGAAATGCGAATATCCGCCAAATATAAACATAGTTACAGACAGCATTTAGTGTCCAGCTCATAATTGATAGCTTATTGAAACTGCTTCGTACTGTTCCTAATAATCCTACTATGGCGTTGGTTAACCCGAAGCATGAACAACGGTATTTAGGTCTCGAACTGTTTCCCCAAAGTCTCATCCTTATTCCAACCAAACTGAAAACAGTACCTCACCGCTTGTGTGCGTGTGGCTGTGTGTGTGTGTGTGTGGGTGGCACGACTGCTCCCTGTGTTTCTGTTGTCAGCAGGGAAATTTGCGAGTGTTGTTTCGGTTTTTCTTTGGTCTATACCGACATTTCCCCAGTGCTGTGTAGGTTCCCACTGACTAGCATCACTGACTGTGTTGGTGTGGTTGGTACCTACTTGCCAAAGTGCTGATACTGTATTAGTGTGTAGCTTATTTTTCGCATGTTCGACATGCGAAAGGAAAATTAGATGGTAAATATTTTATGCAGATTTGCAAGTTTTTCCTCTCTATTCCTCGCGATTCAGAAGGAGCAACGAGGCACGCAGTTCCCGTCGAGTACTGTGTTGTGAAGCAGTGGGAAAAGTCGACATTGTACTTGCCCTGGTTTGATGGTGGAAACTCTTAGGACGTGCGTGTGTGTCTGGCGAAAAGACTGAGAGTGCGATTATTGGAAGGATGAGCCATAATTCAAGTGCAACCAGTAGTAGTGCGATTATCCTGGCTTTGAAACGAAGAAGAAGAAATGTGTCACCCCAGCAGCAGTGAGGAAAAAGGATACCACCACCCAATACGTCGTTGTTGCTGCCACTCTGGTGGGTGGGACGGACATGCGGTGTCCGGAGTGAAAAGTGATTAAAGGTTCACTTGAAAGTTTTCCGAGTTTTTTTTTCTTCAACTCTCGAGAATGTGTTTGTGAGCAGCAGGGTGCCCGATTTGTTGTTATTGTGCGCTGGGAAAAGCAGTCAGTTGTAGGGCCGCTCTACCCCAAAACTCGTCAAAAGTCGAAACAAGATTGAAAGTGCAAGAAACAGCAATATCTTGAAGAGTGTGGAACAACATCATCCTTAAGCTGGGCGGTGGAAGTTGGTAATAGCTTTCGTTTCCGAGAATTGTGTATCTGTAGGGCTATGGCCGCCGCCGTCGTCTTTGATGGAACTTGGTGTGCGGTGGAAGAACAACGGTGACTGCGACGGGTGTGTCGCTTGAAGGAAGCCGACAGAAGTGAATAATAATGCTATAAATGAGTTATGCTAAAAATGTTAATTAATGCTAGATCAAAGTGAAAGTTCTAGTTGCTTGGAGTTGATGGATATACATACTTCGCGGACGGCGCTCGTCGATGGTCGTCCGTTGGGCTCGTGGGATTTGATTCACCCCGTCTGGGATAATAATTTGCACGATCGCACCACCACCATCGACACAGCAGGGGCCTTGAATAAGGATATTTAAATTAATCTAAAACAGGGTGTTGGAATACACGGCGGATTACCGCAGCAGTGGGCGCACGCAAAAAAGCGAAGCCAGACCGCAATTCGCGTTTTGTGCTGATTTGATTGATGCAAATGTTTTGCCTCAGTGGAGAGCAATCGAACCGGAAGGGGGGAAACTAATCGGATTTGAAACGCGAGAGTGCAGTGTGGGTGTGTGCATGTTAGTGAGTGGAAGCACTAGGAAAAATATCGAATGAAAACAATTAAAATGCGAATTGATTTGCTGCCGTCGGTCGTCGGTGCTGCTGCTGCTGCTGGTCACTGCCAGCCGAAAGAGGTGAAGCCCCGCGTTGACGATCGTGAGTGGAGGAAATGGAATGAAATCCAACTGTAGGACTGGAAATTCTGTGCTGGTGCACGGTCCCGGAGCCGGAAATTGATTTAGCAGAGTGCAGTGGCAGGGAGAGTGGAAGCACGCATTAAAAACCGACTGAAACACACATATTGCTGGCAGTAGGGTACGGATTCGGGTACGGAGCAATAGCTGTTGTGAGGGTTGAGCTGTCAAGTGCCAATGCCGGTTGGAAATGTTCCCTATCACCACCGAAGGAAGTACTCGCCCCAGGTTCCACCGGATTACCAGTGAGTACTTTTCTATTATTGAAGCGTCATCGTTTTTGATTTAATGGATTATATTTCATGGCTGTAGTTCGATTTCGAATATATCTGATCTTCCATCTGTTGTTGAGTCCTGCCTGGCATTCAGCATTGGCGTAAGCTAGGTAATTATGCTAGGGGGGACTGACACAGTGTTATTATTTTTATTAATTATTTTTCTTTTCCACAAAAATCATTATATCGTCGATGTTCTGCAATGCTGTCACAACTCGAAATTTGCAATTTTTCCGTTTTATCGGTTGAAAGTATACAAAAAACCAAGTTATATTACTTTATTCTATCTAATTTCCAAAGGCCGTTTATTTCTTTAGCGTAGGATTGAAAAAAAAAAACATCCAGTCATACAATTATCATCAAAAGTCTAAAACAAAGTGAAATTTTCGATGATTTTTATTTTGAGTGGTGACAGTGTTACATAAGACCGACGATATTCCCAGGATCAGGGTTGTTAATCGAGAATTTCCGATAAAGTGGCGCAGCCAGTATTTCTCTCTGGGGGAGGGGGTAATGACAAATATCACGTTTCCCAATTTCCTACATACATTATTTCCGGAAAAATGCTAAATACACTATTTCCTGGAAATTTACTCTGTCAATAAATTTGCGGTCCGAATCGGCAATTTAGCACGAAAACAATATTAACTCTGTTTTCCCTTGTTTTGTTTTCCGTCGATCTGAGCTGAGTGCTGAGCACTAATGTTACCGACGCCAGGGAGACACCTCCCACACCTGGACCCATCAACTCATGAACCGGGAACCAACGGCTTTACTTCCCTTGATCAGAGCTATTATGCCTCAGAACATGCCGGCGGCTAATATTTACTCTGTTGCTATTAACTTTAAAAGGTTAGTGTCTGCGGAGAAGAAGTCTATGATTACGAGACGGTTCTCATAATAATTATATAAAAAAACTTTTATTGAACTAAATCATTTGATTACACTTGTCTCACTTAATGCTAAAACTGAACTGATTGAATCTTGCCTCATCGGTCATACTTATGCTCTACTAGGATAATTAGAGTGATCCTCATTTTTTCTTCAGCAAAGTTATAGACACAAATATATCTAGTAACTTTGCTGAAAAACAATGTTGTTAAATTATAAAGATAGATAGAAGGATTAGTAATGTTCATTTCATTCCACAACCTTATTTGCTTATCCTTGACGTATTTCGTCTACAATGTACAGACTTCTTCAGTGTTTTGTACTAATACTTGACTGAAGAAAACATCGCATTTTACCGAATATATATTAACCTATGTACATTTTCACTTAGAAGCTAGGTGAACTTAAATATAATCTTAATCTTAATCCTGTAGAAGCACTGCTTACTCGTTGGTGTGTCCTAGGCAGGACTGGCGAATGTCATTTTCAATGAAAGATCTCACGCGATATTTACAGAGATACTTCTGTCACTATCATTGGATGAGAAAACGATGATAGAGATTTTCTTCAAAATCTCATCGAATTTTTTGTCATGACAGAACGTGAAAGTGTTGTGATCATCGTAATTACTAGCTCATTTAATGCTATTAAAGTTACCTGTACCGAGGAAATCTTAATAATGTATTCACTCCACCGATTAGATAAGGTTGTTTGCTTAAATTAATCTAAATCTGTTAGATATTTTAATGTCAAAACCACATAACAATTATTCAATGAGTGCTTGATCATTGAAAAATGACAAGAAAGCTAATGATAGGTAGTTTCGTCTCGTGATAGTAAGAGGACCTGTTTTCTCATCGTCACATGACAGCCGTGATATTTACCAGCTCTGGTCCTAGGTACTAACTTGAAAAGTCATGTGTGTCCGTTTCTTGATCCCTGTTGAGTGAATTTTATATCCTTGTTAATTTTATTGATCTCATCTAAAATTTATGGAAGGACTTCCCGTTTAACTACGCTGAAGATGTCGTCGACCAATGGTTCTCCTTCAGGATTGTCTTCAAGTTAGTCATGAAAAGATCACATAGGAAAGGGGACAGGGGATTTCCTATTGGGACTCCTTTCGTCTGCTTGTAGAGGTTACCTCGGAAAAAGAAGTAGTTCTCTTCCATAAAAAGGCGGGTCAGCTTAAGCTACGTCCGAAGCTTGGTTTTCCATGCTGCATCCTGTCGTTGTATTAATAGCCAGTCCTCCAAATGGTTGACCGCTTTCTTGACCGGTACGCTGGGAAAACGTGACGTCGAAAGATACCATATTCTTGATCCTCGTTGATGTCTACTGAAGATTGTAACTGCTGGGCGAACTCCTGGGTGTTATTAACTGCCTTACTCTGGAACTGAACTCCGTGACTAGCCACTTCGCTAGTTTGTGGGTAGGGGAACCAACTGCAAACACGATCTCTCTCATTTAATTCCCCGGTTTGTGGACTTTGGGGAGACCTTTGATCCAGAATGGGATTGGATTCCCGTAAACGAACTGCTCCATCTTCTAATATTGATTTACACTTATTCAGTGTTTTCTCCACGTGTTTCACCATGCTCTGTAAGGGATCTACTTGAAGCTGCCTATAAGGTCCGTTGTAAATCTTCGTTGTCATCGGATTGTCGTTATCGTCCCTGTCCATAATAACGATCGCGTTACCCTCGTCTCCTTTCACACAATATTCTGCTTTACTTTCCAGCTCATTTACAATCCGAATTTCCTTTTCGTTGCTGCGACTTTGTTCCTGTCCGCCCTTGATTATGTTCGATGTGATAGTCCTGACCGTATTCTGTGCTGATGTTGTAAGTTTCTAGCTTTGTTGTAATCGCGTATCCTAGCCCCTTGTTTCTTTTTTCTCCTTGACTTGTTTTCCGTGATGAGAACCAATGCTACCGACGCCAGGAAGGCAGCTCTCACACCCGAATCATATCTATCGACCCATCAACTCATGAACAGGGGAAGAACGGCTTTTCTTCCCTTTCAGAGATTTTATGCCTCAGAAAATCCCGGTGGCGGCGACTGGGATTGAACCCAGGCCTTTTGGGGCCGTGAATGCGGTCATCGATCGGTTGACAATCAACCCATCAGTGGAGTGAGACGACGTTGAGACTCGTGTCGTAGTCTGTTTAGCTTCCTATCGTGCAGCTTCCGTTTCCTATCCGATCCACACTCCTCTGCTACCTTGGCTCTAGACAGAAGCTCCTGGAATTTAATTTGATACTCCGTGGCCAATTTGAGATGTAGAGAATTACATTTCAAAGTATTCATTTCCAGTTGCTATATAGACGTTTTCCGTTCCGGCCTATGTGTTGAATGGGTGTGATATTCTACGGAGGTGTGAATGCTGCCTTCCTGCATATTCGATTGCCGTCAATGGATGGCAATCGATGTCCGTCGGTGATTGGCACTAGATTGCGGAACAGAGACCGACGATAAATAAAGGAAAGAAGGAGAAGAAGGGTGGGTCCGTACCTTAATCCTATGGCTTATAGGTACACTCTCTCCCCGAAGAACGTGAACTCGGTCTACACGAATTCCAGTTACATTGGTCTCGAATGATTCCGTTTACGCGAGAGAATCGCGTAAATGGAGTACACGTAGCATATGGAATTTTACCTAATAGGGATCAACATGGAATATCTCGCGATCCTGGATATATAGAAGTTTACTGTCTTCGGTAATGGTTGGTGAGTGAGACAATTCCGAACTTCTGTCTACCAACCATTAGGTCTTGGTCCAATGAACAACTTCGCAATAGGCAGCAGCTTTTTAGATTGTAACACAAAAACAACACAACAACAACAACACAACATAACACAAATAAGGAAATTACAAATTCAAGCACACTAGCGCCGCATAGTGAAAGAATTCCGATCTTCTGTCCACCAATCACCAGGACTTGATCCACTGAACAACTTTTCTCAAGACACCAACTTTCTAGATGACAAGGATTTCAAGTTATAACGTAAACTAGGGAACTACAAATTCAAGCACATTAGCGCCGCTTATAGAGAAAATTCCAAACTTTTGTAAACCAAACGTTTGGTCTTGATCTACTGAACAACTTTTCCCAAGACAGCATCTTCCTAGATGGCAAGGATTTCAAGATATAACATAAAAAAGGAAATCAAAAATTCAAACACACTAGCACCGCAGAGTGAGAAAATTCCGAACTTCTGTCCACCAACGATTTGGTTTTGATCCACTGAACAACTTCGCCGAAGAAAACAACTTCCTAGATGACAAGGATTTCCAAACTCACTTGAACAATACCAAACTATTTTTCACGGCACAATCACACGAAATTTTTATTGCTACCACTCAACCTAATTAATTAACCATCGAAATCTCCCGGAACTCCAACCCGATGGCAAAACCGAACGTCTTAACTTGAGCTCCTTCTTCTTGGCATAATACATTCCGACGTCGAAAACCTCCGAGAGCTTCTTACCATGAATTATCACCTTCAGCAGTTCCTCTTCCAGATTGAGCAGAAAGGTGTAGTGCTTCCAAATCGTTTCCGTTGGATTGACCAGCAACGTTCGGACAACATTAGAGCAGTAGGACTTGTAACGCGCACCCAGAGCACATATGTTGCTTGCTGAACACCCTCCGACAGTTTGGCATGTTTGACTTTCTTATCTGCATCGATAATCTCCATGATGTAATCCTTGAGGTACTTGTTTAATACGTCTACCGTCACCAGGCAGGCCTTCTTGATGGTGATAACCTCGGAGTCCTCCTTGGAGCACATGATATACCCGATTGGGATGCTGATGCCCACCGTGTCGAAGCTCTTGTCCTTGACGAAGGCTCACCACGATTCACAGAGTTCACCCGGGAAGTTATCCTTGAAGAAGACGCTCAGCGTTTTGCCATCCTTGGATCATTTCATCGCCTCCAGCAGCTTTTCAAAATTGGCCTTGTCTTTGTCCCGAACCAACAGTTTCACCTTCTTGCTGGTCAGGAAAAATATGGACTTTTCCCACAGCACCGTAATCGTATCGGTCAGCTCGTATCCCAGCAGCCAGGTCTGC